CGGAGAGAATTCACCTTGAGCTTACTAGTGAAAGGTGCATAGCGATCTAGTTTGTCTTTGCTTTCCGAATGCTACTCAACACAATGTATTCAACACTACGATTACATACATACAAAGTTTCTTTATAAATTCTGGTCTACTTTTAGACTTTGTGGATCTGTCTACTGTGATGGGTTTTATATGCTACAGCTGATCTTTATTACTTTTCAGAATGGCTTCATAGGTTTTTTTCTATTTCTTTTAGCTTGTAATTTATGTATGTAGAATACATTTGTTGTAGTTTGTACTCCTTAGCTTTTTTGTTTGTTGGTTTGTTTTGAGGGGAGTTATTTGTTTGTTCTTTGAGACAGGGTTTCTCTTTGTAATCTTGGCTATCTTGACTTGCTCTATAGACCAGACTGGCCTTGAACTCACAGAGATCCACTTGCCTCTGCCTCCTGAGTGCTGGAATTAAAGGTGTGCGCCACCACCTCCCGGCATGTACTCTTTAGCTTTAACAGATACTTAGATGACATTTCCACCATCACAGCCCCACCACCCTGCCAGGGATGGTGGCGCATGCCTTTAACCCCAGCACTCAGGAGGAGAAGGCAGGTGAATGTCTGTGAGTCTTAAGTCAGCCTGGTTTGCAGAGCAATTTCCAGGACAGCCAGGACTACACAGAGAAACCCTATCTCAAAAAACCAAAAGGAAGCGGGGAAAAACCCACTTTACCTCAAATTATGACTAATTAATTTTCTATTCTTATAATTTTACTTTTTGATAAATTACCACTAATTAATTTTCTAACCCTATAATTCTACCGTTTAATATGTATTGGATTTTTGTTGTTGTTGTTTTTATTGAGGTATATATTTTTTCCCCCGCTTCCTCCTCCCTCCCGTTCTACCCTGTCCCATGATCCCCATGCTCCCAATTTACTCAGGAGATCTTGTCTTTTTTTATTTATGTAGATTAGATCCATGTATGTCTTGTAGATTAGATCCATGTATGTCTCTCTTAGGGTCCTCTTTATTCTCTAGGTTCTCTAGGAAGTATTGAATAATTTTTTAAAAAGATATTCTCACTATAGCACTGGCTGTTAACCCTTTAATACAGTTCCTCATGTTGTGGTGACTCCCCAACCATAAAACTACTTTCGTTGCTACTTCAGAACTGTGATTTTGCTACTTCAGAACTGTGATTTTGCTACTGTTATGAATCATAATGCAAGTATCTGTGTTTTTCAGTGGTCTTAGGTGACCCCTGAGAAAAAGTCTTTTGGCCCTCAGAGGATCTGTGACCCACAGGTTGAGAACCACTGTACTGCAGCCCTGCCTGACCTGGAACTCATGAAGGTCCGATTGTTTTTGTAGCTGATGTTCAGCAGTAATCTTTAATACCTTAATGTGGTTATTCTTGTGAGGGATGTTGCTGTTACTGTTAATACAGTTATTTTAGGAGTCGCGATAGGGTAATTTATCATGTACAGTGCTGCGTTGGTTGTGCTTGCCTGTGAGCTCACACTTAGGAAGTAGGGCAGGAAGCCTAAGGATACTCTCCGTTGCTGAGCAAGTTTGCTGACATTTTAGACCACAGAACAGAAGGAATTCTAATGGAACTCATTTATACTGTATAAATCATCTTTCTGATTGTAGGAAGATTTGAAGACTCTTTCCTTTATACTGATTTTGTGCTTGGCTTCTGTGCTGATTGCTCATTTGCAACATTCAGAGGCACTATTCTATAAATAATGGTAACCTTATGGCTTTTTATCCTTGTCATTTTCTATTTTCTCCCTTTGTGTGACCTCTTTCTGTTGCTGAACGAGAGCAGCCGGGCTGGCTCTCTGTGCGGCTTTGGGCCGCCATTTACCCTCTCTGTACTTGGCAGCCCTTTCTTGTGTGCTGTGACTTGGAGTTTCACATTTTCCTTTGTTTTGGGGAAATTGGTATTTGCATCTCTGTTTCTTGATCTTACGGGGCTGATTCTTCAAAGAGCAGACAAGCCAGCTGTTGCCACCAGAGTCTCAGGGACTGCTTTAAAAGGCAGTGCTAATCCACACTGAAATCCTTGCTGGGGAAAATTCGTTCCCCACTCCCTACTCCTCATCCCTTCTGTCTTTAGTTTTTATTGTCGGTCAGCGAAATCCCCCCAGCTCAAATGTACGCTAGCACAGAGCTGTTTTCCAGCGCTGGCATCATTGACTTTTAGTGTAGCCTAGCCTTAGTGGCTTCCTTCCAAAGAACAGAATATGGAAAAGGAAAAATCGTAAGTTTACCCTACAGCCTGCTGACAGACCCTGCCTCGCCCGTCCGTGGTAAACAGCAGTGATAAGCTATGCTGATGTGCCTTTCACGGGGCTGGAGGGATGGCTGTGAAGACCATGGTGCAGTTCCCAGTCCCCACATATCCCCACATGGTAGCTCACGCCTATCTGTAACTCCAGTTCCGGCCTCCTCAGGCACTGCACACGTGTGAAGCACATACATACTTGCAGGCAAAATACCTGCACACATAAAAATAGATAAATCTTTAGGAAAAAAATGTGTCTTCCACAGTGTATTGTCGGAGAGAGGCACTCTGGGATGAAGACTCGTGTTCTCAGTCTGTGGAGTCTGTCGTCGTGAGGAAAACAAACTGAAGCAGATAGCGGTTAATCCTCAAAGCTGAGGCAGCTGTAGGGAGCGAGGGGGAAAGGAGGAAATTCAGGTCCCCGGAGAGAAGAGCAATGTGGTATGTCTCCGGTGGTCCTGCAAGAAGAAGAAGACTTTGGTGGGAAAACAGGTGAAATTCAAGTGTATTCCGGAGAGTTTCTTTGATGTCCCAATGTGCCTGCTGTGGCCCCAGTGTTGGCGTCCCTTAAAAATTTGCATATTATAGCCTGACTTCTCCCAAGCCTGACTTCTCCCAGGTGATGATGTTTTTAAAAGGAACTTTGAGATGTGATTAAGGCATGAGAATTGAATCTCCAGAGGATTAACCCTTTGTTTTTCAGCTTTTTAGAATTTTTTTTATTTATTTCCTTTATTATTTTTTTACATCTTGACCCCAAGTTTCCCCTCCTCTCCTCCTATTATTCCCAGGCACCCTCTACTTCCCCTCTGCCCCTCCCCCACCCACTCCTGTTTCTGTGCAGAAAGGGGCAGGCTTCCCGCGGTTGTCAATAAAGCAAGGCTTCTCAAGCCGCTGTATGGGCAAGGCAAGATGAGCCCTAAGAGACCCCAGAAAGCTAGCCTGGTCTTTGAGTATGGAGACACAGGAAAAAGGGCCAGCGTTTAGCCAAGAAGACCCTGCGTGCGTCTTGAACTTGAGTCTCCCAGTTTCCACGATGGAAAATAGTTTGGGTTTTGTTGGTGGTGGTAAGTTACGCAGCTCCTTGTCGTTGCTGCAGCTGCCTGTGTGAACTAAGTCTTTCTGCTCCTTAGATTTGATAAATGTACTGTTGTAACATAAGATGTTAACAAAAGGGGAAAATAGCTAAAGGTTATTTAAAGTCTTGTGTGGTGGTTTATGTCTTTAATCCCAGCACTCTAGAGACAGAGACAGGTGTATCTGAGTTCGGGAATAGCCTGATCTATAGTGAGTTCCAGGATAGACAGGACTACTCACAGAAACCATGTCTCAGGAAAAAAAAAAAAAGTGTGTGTGTGTGTGTGTGTGTGTGTGTGTGTGTGTGCATTTCGACAGGCATGCACTGTGGAAATTAGAGAGTGACTAGCAGCTTGTCCCCTACCATGTGGGTCCTCGGGATCAAAGACTTGGTGGCACAGACCTTTAGCCGTAGAGCCATGTAATGTAACTGGTCTTTCTTTGAACCTCCAGCTCCTAAATAATGACACGAAGTCTTCTTATTAAGTCTGAAGGCTTGACTTCAGCTTAGGCCCGTTTACAACTCGCTCTTAAAATTAAAATTAGCCAGGCAGTGGTGGCACACACATGCCTTTAGTCCCAGCACTCAGGAGGCACAGGTTGGCAGATTTCTGAGTTTGAGGCTAGTGTGTTCTACAGAGTAAGTTCCAGGACAGCCAGGACTGTTACTTTGTCTTCAAAAAACAAACAAACAAATAAAAAACCAAACTGAAACTAACCCATTTCTATTAATCTATGTTCTGCCACGTGACTTGTGACTTGTTACCTCTCCTCAGTGCCTTACGTCTGACTTCCTTCAAGTCTTGCTGGCAAAATCCACCACCTCAGATTCTTCCCAGAGTTCCTCTCTCTGCCCAGAAGTTCCACCTGTCCCCCCCCCCCAGCTGCTGGCCTTTCATCTCTTTATTAAACCAATCATTAGGTTCCTTAGGCAGTTGAGGAAGGACAGAGACACATCTTCACACTGAGTGCTCAAATGTCCTGCAGCAGAGCCATCTTGCCAGCCCAGTTATTTGCTCCTTCAAGTGTGACAGCAGTTTCTATTGCCCATATCGGGACTTTGTGGGAAATATTTACTCTAAGCAGAATATTTGGAGAGAAATCAAAGGTAGAAATGATATTGACCTAAAGCATAGAAACTGTGAGGAGCAAATCCAAAGAACTTTGAAAGAAGAAATAAAAGTTGTCAAAGAGTATGTGGTTAGTTTTTATCGACTTGACTCAAACTTAGGCCCCCTGGGAAGAGGGAACATTAGCTGAGAGAATTCCTTCATCAGATCGGCCTATATGCAAGCCTGTAAGGCATTTTCTCAATTAATGACTGATGTCTGAGAGCCTGGCCCATTGTAGGCCGTGCAACCCCTGGGCAGGTGGTCATGGGTTATGTAAAAACGCAGATGGAACAAGCCGTGGAAGGCAAGGTTGTGTATAGTGTTCTTTCCTGATCTCTACTTCAGTTCCTGCTTGAGTTCCTACCCTGGCTTCTCTGTGGACTGTGAACTGTAAGATGAACTAAATCTTTCTAAGTTACCTCTGGTCAGAATATTTGTTGTAACAACAGAAACCTAAATAAAGCAAGAGTTACCAATTCTGTTGTGGGCCGGTAGATGGTTCAGCACAGGGGACAGTGTATGTTTGTGCTTCTGTGTTTGGGAACTTTGGCCAGAGGTTGAAGTTGACCATTGCTCTTTTTAAAACAGGGTTTCTCCCTGAACATGGTGCTCACCGTCCTAGTTAGACTGGCTGAGCAATGAGACCGGTCTCTGCCCGTCAACACTGGTGTTGCAGGTGCCGACAGCCATGCTGTCTGTCCGTTTTATATGAGTCCTGGGATTTGTATGTGTGGTGAGCACTTTACTTACTAGGTAATTTCCCTGGCCCCTCTCTACTACCTAGGGTTCCTCTATACCTTTGGAGCCTGTCCTGGAACTAGCTCTTGTAGACCAGGTTGGCTTCAAACTCACAGAGATCCACCTGCCTCTGTCTCCCAAGTGCTGGAATTAAACGCGCGCGCCACCACCGCCCAGCTGTCTTTGTCCTTTTGATAACAAGACATCCTAACAGGTGTGAGATGATGTCTTACCATGATTTTGAATTGCATTTTCTTTATGCTTAATGACACTATTTCTTTTCATATAACTTTTGACCATTTGTATATCTTACATGGGCAGATATTTACTGAGGTCCTTCACCTGTGGTGGTTTTGTTTTTGTTTGTTTGTTATCTTGCTATTATTGTTTGAATTCTTTATATATCTTGGCTATTTCCCCTGAACCAGATGTCTGGCTTAAAAATATTTTCTCCCAGTCCATAGGTTCTTTCTTTAAATTTTCTTTTCTGTAAAGAAACTTTTCAGTTTTATATAATACCTAACTTATCTATTTGGATTTGAGTTTGTTTTATTTTTGTTTTTGTGTTTCTTGTGCTCTATTGATTAAAACATTGGTTAAAAAACAAATCATTGCCCACACCAGTGTCGTGTGAGTTTTCCCACTCTGCTTTCTGATAGTCTTTCAGTTTCTGACCTGACTGAATCTTCAGCTGAATTTGATATATACGATGACATCAAGGTCCTCTCTCATTCTTCTGCATGTAGATACCCAGGTTTCACTACTGTGTATTGAAGGGATTGTCATTATGTGTTCTCGGCATCTTTGTTGGAAGTCTGTTGACCACACATGCATACGTTTATTTCTGGATTCTCTGTCCTGCTCGTTGGTTGATGTGTCAAGGTTATGTACTAACTCTTCATAGCTTTGCAGTATAGTTTAAAGAGTAATGTGATGCCCCAACTTTGTGGTGGTGTTTTTTTTTTTTCCTCTCATGATTGTCTTGGACTGGTGGGTTTCTTTTGTGGTTGGTTCCATATGAAATTTAAGGATTGGGGAGTATTTTTTGAAAAGTAGTATTAGAATTTTGATGGTCATTGTACTAAATATGTAGAGCAATTTTAGTAGTGTGAATATTTGAGCTATTAATTCTTCATATCTGTGAACATGAAATGTCACCATTTATTTGTGTCTTTGGTTTCTTTCGTCAATGGTTTATAGCTTGCTGTGTCCAGGTCTTTTATCTCCTTGGGTAAATTTATTGCTGAGGATTTTATTTTTGTACTAATTATAAATGAGACTCTTCTTTTGATTTCTTTTTTTGTATGGCTTAATGTGTGTAGCTTATGGCTAGTGTGAAGAGACAATGCTGACTGTTGATATGTAGCCTCCAGTTTTACCGTGTTCTCTTATTCTAATTATACATGTGTGTGTACGTGTGTGTGTGTATGTGCAGGCATGTGTCCATGCATGCATGTGCACACGGATACGTATGTATTAGAGCTTTCTCTACCTAGGCTTTAGTGAGCAGCAGTGGCATTCCACTTCTGTCTTTCCTACTTGGTGCCTTCTTTCCCTTTCTTGGTTCTTCCAGCATGGACTGTGAATTCTTGTCTTGTTCTAGTCCTTAGAACAACATTTTTTTAGTATGTCATCATTAGCTGTGGACCTTTAGAGTATAGTGTATAGTCTTTCTATGTGTAGTGTTCTTGCTTAGAGTTTTGTGTTTTTATTTGTGTGTGTGTGTGTGTGTGTGTGTGTGTCTATGCCACGTCTGTGCACTGTGGAGGCCAGAGGATGGTGGCAGACCCCCTTGAACTGGAGTCACAGTCTGTTTTGAGCTACCTGACAAGGGTTCTGGGAACTGAATTTGGACTCTCGGGTATAACAAGAAGTGCTCTTAACCCCTGTTCCAACTCTCCAGCCCCTAGAGGTGGCAGTTTTGTGAAATTTCTTTTCTGTCTGTTGAGATGGTCAATGACCATATTGTTTCTATCTTTCATCCTGTTAATGAGGTGGGTCATAAATACTCACGGAGCTGTCTCACTAGCCCATATTTTGGTATGTTAATTGAACATTTTGTAATGTAAAGGAACCTGGTATTTATTTTCCCATGTATTTGTGACCAAAAAAAAAAAAAGAAGAAGAAGAAGAAAGTAAGCAAATGAAATTTCATTTGTAACTAATTTCAAATAGACTGCCCCTTAAAGACTGCTATGCTTCCCAGTGAGAGCAGCATGGGATGTGCTGTGCATCTGGTATAGGACTGCCCAACACTGCACTGCACATTGACTATTTCTGGTCTCTGCCCATTGGATGCTGTGCAAGTCTTTGCAACAATTGCAAGCTCTCAACCTGTCTGAAGTATCTCTGTCTCTGCATTGGGCTCATGAACGTTAAATGGGAATGGGATTAGCCGCTCAGTTTTGTCCTTCAGTTTATGAGACCTTATATTTCATAACTTAAATTAGTAGATTTTTGTTCCCTAAACAAATCTCCCAACCTCTCCTTTCACTGCCTTCCTTTCTTTGCTTTATTTTGTTTTTCTTTTTGAGACATTGTCTTGTTATGTAGTCTTGGCTAGCCTTGAGCTAGCTGTATAATCCTTACTGGTCTCACGTGTGGTGATTCTCCTGTGTCTGTCTTCCAGGGGCTAAGATTCCACATGTGCCCTACTTAGCCTTATAACATCTGGTCATTAACCATTGTGTGCCTGGCTCTCTGTTACATGCTTTATGTGTGCATTTTCTTGTTGTATCTTGTGAACTCTGTGAGAGTGACTTCATAGATGTCATAGACTTCATAGACTTTTTATAGATGATGAACAATTGAGTGTAAAGTGTGGTTAAAATCCAGTCAGTATTCATTAGCTATATTCTATGTGTAGGTACTGAGATAAATTCATGAATGACACAATATGTTTTTTTTTCTTTAAGGAACTTGAGATTGCATAACTAAAGAAGCAGAAAGGTCAAAAAGTCTAAGCCAGTGACTGTTGACTGAGTGAAAGCCTTTCCCAAGCCAGCCTGCTAACCCCAGTTTAATCCCTAGAATCCATCTCAATGTAGAAGGAGGGGACCGACTCCCGGAAGTTGTCCTCTGACTTCCATACACACAGCTGTGGTACTTGGACTCTCTCTCTCTCCTTTACACATGCATGGCAATAAAAACATCAAATATTTTAAATAATTTTAATGCAAATATTACATTTCTATAGAAGAGCACACTGCCTCCTACTTCTGCATAGATTATAATCAGGAAGACCAATTTAGTCAGCTACATTAATCCTAATTTACAGACTGCGGGAGTGTTCTGAAGGTAGCCATACTATGCATTCACTTGGGCAGTTTTTCTCCTGCTCAGGGCCGCTGGAGCCCATGTGCACAGCACGGTGGCACTCTCAGCTCTAGGGCACAGCCTACATGGCCTCACCAGAGCAGGAGCCAGGGCTCTTGCTGGACTGCTTTCCGTTTTGCTAGCTAGCACTTGGCCTGGAGTGCGGACTCCACTCAGACACCTGCTTTCATGTGGCCGTTCCAGCGTTCAACAAACCATGATTCCTTCCTCTTCCTTTCCCTTTCTTCCTCCTCTCTTCCTCCCTCCTTCCACTTGTTTCTCTCCTCCACACCTTCATGCAGGGTCTTTAAAAAGGTGTTCATTTATTTACTTGATGTGTATGAGTGCTTCACCTGCATGTAGATAGGTGGACCGCATGCGTGCAGTCCCCGGAAAGGCCAGAAGAGCGTGTTGGAATCCTCAGAAACCAAGTCAACTACAACTCAACCCACTCCTAGGAGGGAGAGGTTTTCTTGATCAGATTATTTGAAGCAGGCGGACCAGCCGTCAGTGTGGACAGCACCTTCTGGCGGCAGCGCAGATGAGAGGACGTGGAAGAAGGAAACTTGGCTCTTCGCCTCGTTGGCCTCCCTCTCACTGCAAGTCCTTCTCTCCTGCAGTGTTGTTTGCTGTTGTTACTTCTTCCAGCTTCCGGTGTAGACTGAAACCAGCATTTCTCCAGGGATCTTCCAGGTCTTGGGGGCTGGATTGGGACTGCTGGGATATCCAGCCTCGTGTCCAGCCTCACTGAGCAACTACTAGATCCTGAGCCCCTGCAGTGTGAGGAAGCTCTTATTGGACTACCCGGACCGCATCCTGTAAGTCAGCCCAAACAATCCCCCTTGAATACATGTATTCATTCAATCGGTTCTGTTCCTTCAGAGCCACCATGTGACTGTTAGGATCGAAACCCAGGTCCTCTGCAAGAGCAGTAAGGGCTCTTAACCCCTATGCCATGTCTCCAGCCTTCGTGCATTTTTGAAAACTTGCGCTTTTCCAGTGGTCAATAAGACAGAATCCCATCCTCAGGGGCAGTGTTAGTCAGCATTAACTCCATTCTCCTCTTCCAATTGCATATGCCCCCTTTAGGTTTTCTATATGTCTGTCCTTTGGTTACGGTGGTATAAGGAGAAACACTGGTGAATTAACACAGATATGCATTTACTTAAATGATAGTCTTTCATGATTGGTTTGATAATTGCAAGTTCCTATGCCAGTATACTGTTCCTGGGCTGGGTTTGGTGTGAAGGAGTTCCACCTAAAAGATTTCGGTTCCTTTTGCCACTTCCAGCCATTGAGAAGCATCCTCTGGATGGAGGGCTGTTTCAGTGTTTCACGTGTCCCCCGGTGATTCTGTACCAGACAACCTGGTAATTGCACATGTTAGATAACATGAACATAGCAGAGAAGGGGAAGTTTCCCCACAAGTTAGATGAGTCAGACATTTTCGAAAACTTTTGTTATTTCTCAAGATAAACTTTTACACCAAAACATGTTACTTGGGTGTGTAGAGAGCCCTTCCCATTTGATCATGAGTCACTGAGCGCAGAGACCACACCACTATCCTGTTTATGAGGCTTGCCCTCCCTTAACCATTTAGCCACTGCGAGTCACTGCACTAAGCATGGTATCCGTATTTATCGAATTGAACGTGAGAGTAGAAGCTGATTTTTACCAGCGAGAGCAAACAGCCTTGCAGAGAGATTGCGTCCTGTAAAATGGGGGAACCTGGGTTCTATTTCCCAGTCCTGTGAGTGTCTTGTGCTGTAGCCTCAAAGAAATCACCCAACCTAAGTGGGGCCCAAGTCTTTGGGAAATGGAAAAATCATAAGATTGTTTCAAGGTGCCCACTCCACTTGTTCCGTGTTACATTAGCGTCCTCTAGTGAAATGGCGATCGTGGTCACGGGTGGTTTGCTGGTTGGTTGGTTGGTTGGTTGTTACTTCAATTGTTATTTTAATGTTCCTTCTTGGCCAGGTGCAAGTTGACAGATAATCTGAGTTTCCCAGGTCTAGCCCCCATGCCGCCACTGCGCTACAGGAACAGCTGTCTCTTCGTGGAGCATGCCTTCCGCTCTTGCAGAAGCAAGCGCTCTGCTCATTTTTGTGGCGAGCAAACAGACGGGGAAGCATGTGTTCTACGTTATTATTAATGTAATACAGGCTTGTCCTGGCCCTGATTAAAAATCTGCTCTCCAGATACTTCTGTGCACAGAGTTGTTTTGTGTGGTGTTTCCAGGTTTTGCATCCCCCTTCCACCTTGCAAATAGGGACCGATGTCCTCCCATGCAGCAGGGGGCATGGAGGAGAGCGCCACTCCCTGACAGTTGTGCTTCACATTAGTAATGGCAACTTGGGAGTGGAAAACAGAGATGTCTCTATTCCCGCCTGGCGAAAGCTCCCGGCATCTTTTGAATGTCTTTCCTTTGAGGGGATAGTTCACACATCAGGTTTTGATTCCCATGCCGTTATTTTCCATTCCGAGAGGAGCCAACTATTATCCTAAAAGGTCAGTATTTGGTTTCTGGACTTAATGGAACAATCGAGTCCCATGCCTATTTTTCCTCAACTACAAAGTTCTATTGTAAATGTCGATGTCTTTACTTCAGTATAAGATGTTTGGTACCCAAGAAGACTAAGCAGGGTGCTAGAGCTGGCCATTTCTTTACTCTTACTACACACACACACACACACACACACACACACACACACTCACACACACTCACACACACACTAATAGTGATAATAATAAGTAGATGAAAATTTAAAAGACTCAAGGTTCCATCCTTAGCTTTTTTCTTTTTAAAAAGAAAAGGGAAAATTTCTAAGCATCACTCTTAGGAATCTGTGTGTGTGTGTGTGTGTGTGTGTGTGTGTGTCTGTCTGTCTGTCTGTCTGTCTGTCGTCTTTCTCTGTGTGTCCAGAGGATTGGAGGTAGGGCCTCACTTACACTTGCAAGCTCCGTACCAGTGAACTACATCATAGTCCCTTTTATTTTTTTCCATCGGTGCTGATGTCACTGCCCCTCAGTGACATCATATGCCTTTGATCTATCGGTCTCAGGCTCCTATGTAACTAAGATCATAGGCCTATATCGTCACGCCGGGTTTCCTATGCACTTTGGATGAGAAAGCTGACATTTCATGTGTTTCAGAGGTTCAGTGGAAACTCACATGCCTGGGTTCAAACCCAGCCTCCACCACTGGTTGAACTGTGTGACGTTAGGGAGCTGGGTTATTCTCCTGATGTCTCATCTTTCTCTGTACAGAGCAGACGATGATGACGACAATGACAACAATGACGATAGTAGTGATGTAACTTTTAGAGTCCCTGGATGGTATCAAGAGATTTGTAGGCCCAATGTCCAGCAAAACAGCCACAACTGCTGGAAAAGGTAAGACCACAACCCCTTGACCTTTCTGAAAATTGTTCAAAGAGCATTCAGCAACCTAACAAGTATTTATTCAACAAAATCCATGTATGGAAGCTCAACAAGCATCAGTGGTCCTTAGTTGAAGCTCCACACAGGCAGATATGGCCAAGACACAGAGTGACCAGGCCACTGGGCTCCACTCCAGGGGTGCAGTATCTCCAAGGGAGACATTTCAAATCCCCTCCAACCTCATTTCACAGAGGCTCACTCTTGTCCTGGTTGGTGCAGACAGGAGATTGGGGTTCCCACCTTGATCCGGTCCCCACTCATAAGCAAGAGAACTATTCCGATCTCTGCTCATAAGGCAGAAGTTCCCTCCAAGAGAGACAGGCCATTGTCCAGCAGCCTCAGTGTCAGTGAGGAAAGGCAGCCAGGATGGACAGGGGATGCAGTGGTCTCCTCTTAGAAAACAAACTTCTTTGACACACAGTGAGGGAAAATTCACGCCTTTCTCTAAAACAATGGAGACTTGGTGAGAAGTTCAGAGGTCATCTGTATGCGAGTGACAGGTTAAAACCCCAGGCCGGCTAATCTACTAGTCAGAACTGGGGAAAGATAACAAGGAAGAATGAGCAGAGAACGAATGCTCCTGAAGTGGGAGAAGAAAATCTCCTCTCAAGGGCTGGCTTCAAAAAAATGCCTTGCTTGACTTGAATTAGGTCAAACTGTGGTGCAATTTATGTCCTAGGGAATTGTTGGAAAGGGGAGAGCAGTCATCAGGCCGTTGGTGGAGCCCCACAGCCGGACTGTGGTTGAATAGCGAGGGACAGCTGCACAGGGTCGGAGGAGGAGGCCGAGAGCTCTGCTGAAGCCACCGCCATCCCTGGGTAGCTGCACGTGCCAGAGGATTTCCACAGTGGACTTGGAGCAAGGATATGATTTCATTAAGACCAGAGCCAAGTCAGTGAACAGGTAGGAGAGGAAAAGCCGTGAAAGGGAAGAGAGCTTAGTGTCTAGAATTTCTCTTGCAGTCTAATTTACTTAAAACATCTTGTCTACAAAAGGAGGGGGTGGCAGAAGGGGGGAAAAAAAGTAGCAGAGAGGTAAATATGCAAGCAGGTGCTACGGTGTGGCTCTTACATAGAAAGTGTGTAACACCTCTGGCCAATAATGGGCCTAAATGTCCAATTTTACAGCTACTTCAAAGCAGCCATTATATATTTGTTTCTTTGTTTTTAAATAAATGAAATGGCTGGGCAGCAGTGATGTAAACCTTTAATCCCTTCACTTGGGAGGCAGAGGTAGGAGGATCTCTATGAGTTCGAGGTCAGTCTAGTCTACATAGTGAGTTTCAGGACAGTCAGGAGGGCTACACAGAGTAACCCTGTCTTGAAAAACTAAAAATGAATGAATGAATGAATGACTAAATAAATGAAACGGTGCTTAAGTAAACTAATCAGAGTGTCCCACCAGAGAATGTAGGTCAATAGACAAACGTTAAAGACAGTAACCAAATAGAAACTCTGTGGTTGAAGAGTCTGACGGAGTTGAGAGTTCCCAAAAGGAGAAAGGGTGAATTATTTTAATAGCTTCTGTGTATTTTCAGAGACATAGTCTATTGCAAAGCCTTTGCAGCATACAGAACAGAAAACAACAGCAGAAGTAATAATGGAGAAAAAGAAGAGAATCTCTGAGAAACATGGGCCAACACTGTGTTACATGAACTCAAGCACAACAGGAATACCAGAAGGGGAGGAAGCAACACTGTACGTGAACCCACACACAACAGGAATACCAGAAGGGGAGGAAGCAATACTGCGTACGTGAACCCATATACAACAGGAATACCAGAAGGGGGGAAGCAACATACACAGGAAAACATGTCCAAAGAAATGCGGCTGGAAATATACTGCATCTGATGAAGATCAGTCTAGATGACTCAAAACCTCAATACATCATAAGAATAAAACCAAGAGCCCAACAAACAGATACATCATGTTTAAATGTTTAAATAAAAGATAAGAAAAGGGCCACAAAATGAAGGGGCTTTGCCACCAAGCCTGACAGCGTGAGTTCACCCCTGGTCACCACGGGGTAGAAGGAGAGAACTGACGCCCACCGTTGTCCTTTGAGTAGAATAAATCTTTTTTTTAGAAGGAAATAAATAGAGAAACAATTTTAGAGACATCAAAAACAGTTGATACTATAGGTAAATCAATAAAGCCCCCCCCAAAAAAAAGGCTGATCAGTAAAAATTATGAACTGCTTGGAGCTAACAGACCTAGCATTAGCAGGGCTACGTTCTGTTTGGAGTGGATAAGAAAGAATGAGGGATCAGGGATCAGCGAGCTGAGTAGGCACCTTGGACCACAGAGGATGCAGAGGAAACTCTCTGTGTTGATGGACAGGCTCCTAGAGAAATGATGGTACTGGAAGCCTATTTTGACCTATGGTGGGTTAATTGTGTGTGAGGATGGTTAAATAAACTTCAGCTGGTGTAGGAGATCCTTCTGTCTTTTGTGTTGCTTTCATTGGTTAATAAAGAAACTGCCTTGGCCTAGTTGATAGGGCAGAACTTAGGTAGGCGGAGAAAACAGAACTGAATGCTGGGAGAAAGGCCCAGTAAGGGAGACACCATGGAGCCGCCAGAGACAGACATGCCGAATATTCCTGGTAAGCCACTGCCACATGGTGATATACAGATTAATAGAAATGGGTTAAATTAAGATGTAAGAATTAGCCAATAAGAAACTAGAGCTAATGGGCCAAGCAGTGTTTTAATGAATACAATTTCTGTGTGATTATTTCAGGGCTAAGCTAGCTGGGTGGCCAGGATGAACAAGCAGCCCTCCCTCTGCAACATTCAGCAAAGGCTTTCATTTTCCTTGAGATGGGTTTAATTGTCCAGAAAGGTTTTTGCCCTCTCAAAGAATCAAAGTATCAAAGAACTTGACAGTCATTTAAAATTATTTCCTTGAGAACCAGAGATTTCTCTGGAGGAATGCCAGGGGTTTACAGCAGATTAAAGAACAATGTGGCAGGTGATGCTTCCATTTCATCATCTCTGCTTCAACCACAGCAACTAACTCCAAAACTCTTGTCTTAAAAATTCATCATATTTTATTACTATGAACATTGCACTATTTCCACACTGAAAGTAAAAGAGGGAAATCTTAGTTTATTTCTAATGAGAAGCAACTTTACTCTCAAATTATCAATGCTTCTTTTTCTTCCTGGTTTATATTACACATGTGTGTATATGTTCTCTTCTTTACCCATCTGTATATGACTGTCCCTTGCTTTATAATGCTATCGGAACCCAGCTTTGCAGATTGCCTTCCTACTCAGGGGCTCTTTATAAATTGTTATCCACAGAAAGTGTTCAGAGGCTAAAACATTATTATAAATCAGTCTTTAAACAATCATTTTTATTTTGTGGTGCTGGGCAGCAAACCGAGGGCCCTGTGCACGCTAGGCAAGGTCTTCCACTGAGCCCATGAATCATTCTCACTTCTTCCCTCGACTGGGTCGAGATGTTGCCTCAGAATCCTTCTCCACATACCACCTCATTCTTCTGCTAAACAAGGCTCTGAGTTGGTACTTCGCGTAAACAGTCATTCTTCATGTCAGTCCCACTGGTGGGGTTTCATACAGCCGTCAATCAACTTCCACATTTCTCCCTTTGATTTTCCTACTTTCTCCCTGCCCTGCTTTCATGACTGCAGAGATTATAGGCCAAGTGAAAGAAATGTTTTCAAAGCTTTCAAGGGTTGGAGCCAAAACGCCTTCAGAGATCCAGCGGATAGAAGAGTAGGAAGAGAGCAGGACTGAAGTGGGAAGGCAGTGAGGACAAAGGCAGGCAAGCCCAAACAACAGCCAAACTGTCAACAATTATCATAACTCAAGAATATACATAAACATTTTACGATGCTGTGGGCTCTCCCTGGACCATCTGAAATCTCCACCTTGTCATCCATACCCATTACAGCTGTGCATCTTAAAGGAGTCATGATAGTATTTGCGTGGTATTAGTTGCTTTTCTATTGCTATGCTGAAACATCATAACCAAGACAACTTATATAAAGTGAAGCATTTAATTGGACTTTGATTCTTGATCAGCGGATCTCCACCTGTGGGTCGCAACCCCTTTGGGGGCCAACATAGCAAATATCCTGCGCATCGGCTATTTACAGCGTGATTTGTAACAGTAGCAAAGTTACAGTTATGAAGTAGCGACAGAATAATTTTAGGGTTGGGGCCACCACAACATGAGGGACTGCATTAAAGGGTTACAGTGTTAGGAAGGTTAGGAACACTGTTCTAGAGAACTGGAGACCATGATCGTGAATGAAGTGAAGGAATGTTGGCAGGAACAGCTGAGCGCTCACATTTTGAACTGTAAGCAGAAAACAGAGCTAAGGTGAAATGGTGCAAATCTTTTAAACCTCAAAACCCATGCCCAGTGACATACTTCCTCCATCAAGGCTACACCTACCAGTCCTCCCCAGAGAGCCACCCAGGGAGCCAAGTATTCTAATGCCTGAAACTTACCAAGTTTTAGTCATTAGACTAAATTTAGCCATTTTGGTCAAACAATCCTAGAGAGGTTGTTGAGTTTGACATTTAGAACTTTGAATTTAGAGTCCAACAGCCTAGTTTTGTCATAGGACCATCATTGCCTGGTCTTGAACATACCAACTTGAGTGGTTCCCCTGGTTGGCCCCAGTTGTCAACTCAACACAATCCAGAATTATCTGAGGGAGTCTCAGTTGTGGGATCATCTCGATCAGATTGGCCTACGGGTATGTCTTTGGGGGATATTTTCTTCATTGCTAATTGATGGAGAAGGGCCTGGCCCACTGTGGGTGGTTCTGTCCTTGGGCATGGGGACCTGGGTTATATAAGAAAGGTAGCTGAAAGGGATCAAGTCAGTAAGTAGTGTCCCTCCATGGTCTCTATTTTAGTTCCTACATCAGATTCCTGCCTTGAGCTCCTAACCTGACTCCTCATTGACAGACAGTCACTTGGAAGTATAAGAAGAAATAAACCCTTTCCTCGCCCGAGTAATTTTTGGTCAATATGTGTGTGTGTGTGTGTGTGTGTGTGTGTGTGTGTGTGTACACATACATATATATATTTTAAATCAGAAACCAGAACAGTGGTCTTCCATCTCCACAGCTGTGTACCTCCGAGAACCACTTGGCCAGGATGCTTGTGCATTTAGTGTTCAGTTGGTTGCGTCATGCACGGACAGTTGGCTGCAAACCAGCAGACTCTTGTCATCCTGCGATTTTATGATAAGGAAGTTCCCACAGCACTTCTGGTCCCCAAACTCCTGCATGTGCCTGGATGTGTTTCTAAGGCGTGAAAAAGAAGCAGATTCAAAATGGAGCAGTGGTCAAGGGGATGGTTTGATTTAGGGGATACTTTTTAGCAAGGCACATGCTTCCCCTTTAGCCTGTTACTGTTTCTTAGAACATCTGTTTTGCTTTAAGTGAGGGGTGTCTTTAGGGGGTATGTTTAAAGGGAGCTATTATTTTCTTCAGGTCCCCCTTCTCTCTGCCATGTGGTTCAGCAGAGGCTCATGGTATCAGTTTGTGCATGGGCATATGGCCTCTTGGGAGCCCCGATTTACTAAGCATGAGCGTGGATGTCCAATGGCTGCAGGAGGGAGCAACTTTCCTGTCAGTTCAAGTCCAGCACGAATTTGGATGAAAGGCCTGGGATTAAAAGACATCCTGTTTAGAAAGGAAGCACAAGTTTCCTTTGCAGGTTAGGGCGTGTTGCCTGGATATGACTTAGAACACAGCACACCCTTCTGTGTTTGGGCACAGAATGTTCTCTCTCTGCTCTCAATCTCTGTGTCTGTGTGTACATGCATGCATACACGTGTGCATATTCACACGGAAGCCAGAAGACAACCTTGGGCATTGCCCTTCAGGAGTCATTTATCTTGTTCTTTGGACAGTGTCTCTCATTGACCTGGGGCTCACCTATCAGACTATGCTGCCTGGCCAGCCAACTGCAAGGATGCTCCTGTCTCTGCCTCCCCATCACCAGGGTGACAAGCACACATCACCATGCCTGGCTTTTTATGTGAGTTCTTGAGTCCCTGTGCTCACACAGCCAACATTCTACTGACTGAGAGCCCCCCTGCAATATGGTTTGGATTGAGTTATATTCGCAATCTTAGGGAAACATTATTCTCGGCGAATTCATACAGATTGGGCTTGGGTGCCTACAAGGACATGCTTTTGTAGAGTGTGCACTCAATTTATTCAGAGCATTGCAGGGCGGGTTCATACAGTTAATTCTTCTAATTGAATGATTTTTGGTACACTCAATGAAGGCAGCATTATGTCATCATCAATGATAGGAACGTGAGCTCCGAAGTTAGAGGGACGAATTCTCACTCTGTTTTTCAGGCATGCAGTTTCGACAAGTCCACTCAATCTCTCCAAATCTGCTCAATGGTTGTGATCCCTGGCTCGCCAGCTTCAAAGACCTCAATGCCTGGATTCAGCAAGTGTTCGTAACAACTCCTGCTCTCCGCTCTCTGATGCTACAATCAACAAGAGTAACAAGCCACACTTGTGGACACTGAGCAGCAATGCAGGAGTTTGGTTCGGAAGGGGCAATCTTCATGGATGTTTCTATAGTATGGAAGGGCTGGGATAAAACCCAGCAGGCAGCAGAGGATGTTACCTTTCTAACCATTGAGGCGTTTCCAGGCACCAGTGTGACTCTCTGTTGAAAGAATGCAGAATGGAAACGTACTAGAGAGGAACTGATCACTGGTGGTGCCAGTAAAGTCAGCCTTGGTCCACAGTGCTGCAAGGGAGAGTCAGGTGGGAGACAACGGCAGCGGGGCTGAAATCCCTTAGGGAAATTATGTTGAGAATTAAGAAACAGGAGCTTAAGATATGCGGACATGCGCCAGGGCCAGGGTAGCTGGGTAAGTTCTTCCCTAACTCCTGAGCTCAGGCTTGTGCTGGCCTCCTTTCCCCGCTGAAAGTCATAATTGCCTCATCAACCACCTTCTCCGTGTATGGGGGTTTTTCTAACCAAGCCACTTCTTTCCCCTTCGTTACGATGTAGACATTTCTGGTGGGGATGCAGGTTCTCTGGTTATTGCTTCCTTTATCTCATTTCTGGTTTCTGGTTCTTTGTAGAGGGTGACTTTTGAGTAGAGGACTGGTAAGCTCTGAAGGAGAAGGTGGCTGGTCCTCTACCTATTTCTCATGGGAAGTCTTTACATAAATGTCATCCAAGCAGAGAATGTGGTTCATCGTAAGGCGCCTGCTTAGTATGCACAAGGCCTGGCGTCCATCTCATGCCCAGGACTTCTGACGCAAGATCAGGGCACCTACGGCACAATCCTAGCTGAGCCAGTCACTAGATATTCAAGTTCCTGGGTATTACCCCTGCCTTGCCCAGCCAGTTCTTCAAAGATGCGAGGACGTCTGGGCATTTGCTCTTCTATTGATCGTATCGGAGTAATCTTG